TGTGAATATGTCTGCCCATTGGTCTTCTGACTTGCAGTAGACAAGTACGATTTCACCTTCTTTCTGAACTTCCCTTAAGAAGAAAAACTTGATCTTAAAATGTTTGGTTTTCCCATGAAAAACTGGATTGTTAGAAATGGCAATTGCTGCTTGGTTATCAATATGAACTTCAGTATTGTTCCATTGCTTCAGGTGTAAATCACATAAAATTTTTCTTAACCAAATTGCTTGATTAGCTGTTGCCGTAGCAGCTATGAATTCCGCTTCTGCTGTGGACTGTGCTACAACATCCTGCTTTTTAGAGCACCATGAGAAAATTCCTGAGCCAAGACTAAAACAATAACCAGAGGTACTTTTCATATCATCCACAGAACCTCCCCAATCACTGTCAGAAAATCCCAAGAGCTTAAAGTCTTGACTTTTCTTAAATTTCACACCAAAATCAATCGTTCCTTTGATGTATCTCACTACTCTTTTTGCTGCTCTTAAATGCATCTCAGTAGCACAATGCATAAAACGAGATAAAAGACTTACAGAAAATAAAATGTCTGGTCTTGATACTGTGAGGTACATTAGACAACCAATCAGACTTCGAAAGTAGCCTTCTTCAACTCTGTCAGCTCCATCATTCTTGCTCAAGCTCTCCTTTTGATTCATTGGAGTGGTCATTGCCTTGCAATCCTCCAAATGAAATTTCTTGAGAATTTCCTTGGCATACTTCTTTTGACATATGAAAACTTCATCTTCTGACTGCTTAATCTCCATTCCCAAAAAGTATGTCATGAGTCCAAGGTCTGTCATTTCAAAAATCTGCATCATTTCTCTTTTGAACTTTTCAACAAGCTTGTCATTGCCACCTGTGATTAAGAGATCATCAACATAAAGAGAGACTATAAGTAGATCATCATCTTCGTGCTTTATATACAGAGTAGCTTCTGAAGTGCTTTTCTTGAATCCTAAGCTTGATAGATGCTCATCTATCTTGCTGTACCATGCTCTAGGTGCTTGTTTCAAGCCATATAGAGCTTTCTTGAGCAGGTAGACCTTCTCGTCCTCACCTTCTTTCACAAATCCTTCGGGCTGTTCAACATAAATCTCCTCCTGCAAAATACCATTCAAGAATGCAGATTTTACATCTAGTTGAAATACTTTCCAGCCTTTTTGAGCAGCAACAGCTAGCGAGAGTCGAATAGTGTCCATTCTAGCCACAGGTGCAAAGGTTTCAGAATAATCAACACCAAAAATTTGTGCATATCCTTTGACTACAAGTCTAGCCTTGTACTTGTTGATGGAGCCATCTGCATTTAACTTGGTTCTAAACACCCATTTTACTCCAATAACTGCTCTATCCTTTGGTTTGTCAACAAGCTCCCAAGTATTATTTTTTTTTATCATTAACAACTCTTCTTCCATTGCCTTCTTCCAATTCTGGTCTTGAATAGCTTCTTTATATCCTGCAGGTTCACAAATGGCTACATTGCATCTTTGATAAATATTGGACAACATCCTTGTTCCACGAATTGGTGGGTCATCTTCTAACTCTTCTTGCCACTGTTCCACTCCTTGCTCTTTGCTTATTTGGATGAGAGGACTTGATTTCTGCTTACTCATGGATGCCTCTTGTGCTTGTGTCTAGTTCCACTTCTCTTCTTCATGAAAATAAACATCCCTACTAATAAGTATCTTTCCAGTTTGAGGTTGATACACTTTGTAGGCTTTGGAGGAAGAGCTATAGCCAACAAAGATTCCTGGTTCTGACTTTTGGTCAAGCTTATCACGCTTTACCTGTGGAATATGAGAGAAACACATACAACCGAACACTCTAAGAAAATTGAGTGAGGGTTTATAGCCATACCATGCCTCAAATGGAGTTTTGTCCTCCAATGCCTTTGTAGGCAGCCTATTTTGCAAGAAGACAGCAGTGCTTGCTGCTTCAGCCCAGAAATTCTTTGGCAACTCTTTTTCGTGAAGCATACATCGAGTCATTTCCATTATGTACCTGTTTCTTCGCTCACTTACTCCATTTTGTTGCGGAGTGTATGGAGCAGTGAGTTGGTGTTCAATGCCAGATTCTTCACAAAAAATATTAAATTGTTCTGAAGTATACTCCTTTCCATTGTCAGTCCTAATGCATTGAATGCTACAACCACTCTGGTTCTCCACCGTTTTCTTGAACTTCCAAAACAGGCTAGCCACTTCTGATTTATGCTTCATGAAAAAAATCCAACACATTCTGCTAAAATCATCTATGAAAATAACATAGTAACGACTATCTGCAAGTGATTGAGTTCTTTGAGGACCAGCAACATCTGAGTGGATCAACTGCAGCTTATTGGAGGCTCTCCAACTTGACTTGGGAAATGGATTTCTTTTTTGTTTGCCAAATTGACAGGCATTACAATATGGTAAATGATCTACAAAGGTTGGTAAATCATTTGACAACTCCTTCTTCTTCATCAACAACATATTTGAGAGGTGACAATGGCCTAGTCTCTTGTGCCAAGTCTCAGTCACATTCTCATCTGTGGAAACAGCAGCTTGCTCCTCCTTGACTGGTTCAAATGAGAAACTCTTGCCTCTCATTTTTGCTTTGATGATTTCCTTTCCATTTGCATCTTGAATGAGACAAACTCTATCTTCGAAAAACACTTTGAATCCTTTTTCAATGAGCTGTCCAACACTTAACAAATTTTGATCAATATCAGGTACAAAAAGAACATCTGAGATTGACTTTGTACCTGAATTTGTTAGGATAGAAACAGTTCCTATTCCCTTTACCAAAATGTGGTCACCATTACCGATTCTGACTTTTGTGATTGGTGTGGGTTTTAACTCCTTGAAAAGACTTCGATCATGAGTCATGTGGTTTGTACACCCACTGTCAATCAGCCAGCTCTCACTAGATTCATTGCTGGAGAAACAAGTGGCTACGAACAGTTGATCCTCCTCTTCTTCGTCAACAACTTGAGCATCTGCCTCCTGCATTTGATTCTTATTTCTGCATACCACTGCCTCATGCCCAAATTGGCTGCATTTGGAGCATTTTGCATCTGGCCTCCTCCAACATTTGAAAGGAGGGTGACCTTTCTTCCCACAATGGTGACAAGGAGGATATTTCCCCTTGGAATTTCCATTCCTGCTACTTGAAGAAAAAGAACCAGAATTACCTTCTTGCACTTTCTTATTTTTACCAGCTTCATGATATTTTGCAGGTAGAGCTCCTTCAATGACACCTTCTTGCCTCATGGCTCTTCTTTGCTCTTGTGCTTGCAAAGCATTCAACAATTCAGCAAGAGTGATGCTTGACATATCCTTAGTATTCTCTAAGGATGTAATTGTGGCCTCAAATTTTTCAGGAACGGTTACAAGGATCTTTTCAACAATTCTTGACTCTAGAAAAGAAGAGCCCAGCAATCTGATCCGGCTTGCTATACTAAGAAGCCTCTCAGAATACTCCTTAATAGATTCATCATTCTTCATCTTCTGCATCTCGAAGTCGCGAACTAGATTCAGCACCTGCATTCCTCGAATGCGTTCATCTCCCTTGTATTCAGTCTTGAGATAATCCCATATCTCCTTTGCTGACTTCAAAGTCATGATACGAGTGAAAATAGTGGGTGAAACTGCAGCGAACAAACAGGCTTTTGCTTTTGACTTCTTAGTTTTCTTCTCCTTCTGCACTTTTATTTGTGCCATGGTGGGATTAGCTGGAAGAGGCAGAATTTCATAGTCCTCTTCCACTGCTTCCCAAAGATCCAACGCCTCCAAGTACGTCTCCATGCGTACCTCCCAAATTGGGTAGTTTTCTCCATCAAATACTGGCGGAGCAATTGACGTAAGATTCGCTTCAGTTTCCATGGCGCCTCAAATTGACACACAGATCCCTTTAGGAAGATAGCTCTGATACCAGTTGTTGGTTTTAGAAATGAAGTACATTTTATTGATGTGTGACAATACAACTTATAAAGCAAAATAATAAAAAGAAACTGCTCACTACTACATAACTTCTCATCAAAGTAGAAAAGAAAACTGCTCACTATATAACTACCCATTAAAGCAAAAAAGTAAACTGCCCACTACATAACAACTCATTAAAACATAATGAAAACTGACTCCTAAATAATTAAAAATATCAAATTGCAGTTTCTAAAGCATGATCTCTAACATATGTTAACAAGTAAGAGTAAACCATTTTTTTTTTCTGCTGTGAAAAGTGATTAATAAATTGGTTTGACATCTACTCATTTTCACATTACGTAAGTGTACTACACAAGTTTGTTATAAATGTATTTACTCGACTAAATTAATACCCCACTCCAGTAAGACAACCTTGAACCAATAGCAATTCCTCTTTTCCGCTGGAAACTTATTTGGTGGGTTGAATTGAAACCTAGTTTTTAACTTGTCCTTGAACTATGACACTGCTATATGTGAAAATCGTCACCAAATTGCTTCTTAATATCATGCTTTGGATATAGTATATCAATTGAATTTGTTTTATCGTTATAACTCTAAAGGCGTTGTTTGTGAAGTGCTAGGTTTGAACACTGATTAAGGGTACTGGTTATTTTTTTAATGTGACAATTCTGCACTGATTTCTTTTAAATTACTCGAGTACATTGTCTTGAGCTATAATTTTGTAATTAGAATTACATTTCTATAAGTCACTACTTTGAACTTCTTTTTTTTCCCCTATTAATTGTATATCGGATAGCATTGTAAATGAATCAAAAATCTAAACCGAATTAAGTTACTGTTTTAATAGAATTTAAGATCTGTCAATTGATTGAAGAACACAAATCTGTTTGATTGCGTTGTAAAAACCATTTCTACAGCCTAAATTCTTTGATTTTGTATGAGCTGTTTTGTCTAATCTTATGTTGTTTATTCTAAATTAGTATATCTTTATATATATATACGAGCCATTATCAAATTATACCGAAGGCCTTTATAAGACAGTTCCTTTTAAAAACAAATTTACTTTTTCTTATTTTGGGAAGTGACTACAGTGTAGAAAATCAGCTATCAAGCATAGACTCTCATATCAAAATCGCATTGCGAAACAGAGTTTGAATTCTACATGAATGGTTTTAAATAATCATGCTGAAAATTTCATTTGTTTTTGACTATACAAAACAAAGCATACACTACAACTAGAAGTTCAACTTGTTTCAGTATTATCAGGTTTGTTATCAGCGTCTGGTTCACCTTCACTTTCTCCGGCTTTGTCTGCAGCCTTCACAGCTTCAATCTTTGATACACGAAACATAGCCAAATGGGTGTCTCCTAGCAATGATAACGACAGAGATTCAGCTGCTAAATTCGCATCCTAACTTCAAAGATTCTTAAAATAATCACCAAAGTTTATCACTTGAAAAGGCGCGAGTTTTGTTGTACTTTGTTTGTATATTATGTATCTCAAAGCACTATTTGATGTTGAAGTATTGACGATCAATTTATCATTTTGAAACTCTCTTTGGAACTCATAGACTTATAATGCCAAATAGAATATGCTGCAGCATTTCACATATGAATGTTAAAATTGTACATACTTGAGGTGACACGCTTTAATACCACTATAACTTCATTTTCTTTGGTTTTGTTTTGGTATTTTTGTAACACTAAAGCTTTTGCTAGAGCTCTTATGTTACGGTTAGAGTTAGTAGTGGAAGTCTCTCTCAGTAAATCAGCTAGGATTGTTAGGAAGTAATTGTGTCAGTTCGTTGGGTTAGTAGGATTGTAACAATAGTTGTTAGTAGCTCAGAGAGCATATCTATATGATAGCTTGGTATGGATGTTGTACAAGTATACATGTTGTACAAGTAGGATTGTCAGCCTTATTATTATTATTATTTTTTATTTTTTATTTTTTTATTTTATTTTTATTTTATTTTTTTACACCCCTTTTATTTTTACTTTTATTTTCATATATATTATTATTATTATTATTTTATTTATTTATTTTTTATCCCTTTGTATCTTTTATTTGAGTTCATCTACCACGGATTCCAATTAGTTTGGGATAAAGATGTTGTTGATGTTGATGATATAATAAGCATGCAGAACAATATCATAGATTTCCTTTTTGTTCATTCTAAAATTTCTGTCAATATTTATAAAGAAACTAATGGGGCTAAAAGAATAAACACAAATCCTAAACATAATATGTCTAAATCCTAAACAAATCTGACTAATAAAGGAAACACTTAATTACAAATATCTCCATATTTACAACGTAATTTTTTTAAGGAACTGGTTAGCTAAAGATTTTGAATCAGAAAATTATAAGCATCATGAATTTTAGTGGTCCACATTGTATGGCAGGAAAAGAGTGGAATTGCTACATGTGTAGCTGTAAGTATGGCTAAAACTACCCTGAAAAAGTTTCTTCCCAAGGGACTCCAGGCATTTAAACAAAGACTTTTCTAGTCTATTAAAAAATACTAGAAAGATTTGTATGTGGACTATTAGTTGTTGAATCTAAGATATTCTGATGGGGAAGTTCCACAAGGTCCATCCATTAAATGGTACACATGTAAGAAGTATAGAAGTGTTGTTTTACATGTTGAGACAACAAGTGGTGGGTCGTTACAAGGGGAATATTCTAGAGCTATTAACCGAAATCAGTTAGAGGAGTGTAGCGGGATGAGCTTGCTTAAGTAAAATTGTGTAAGAGGGAATGTAACTTGGAACCTGGATTTGGATTTGGATTTGGATTGGGATTGGGATTGAGATAGACCAGAGCCTCTCTAAGATATTTATCTTACAATTTTTTGTCATTTTCTTGTAATTTCCCTTCCAATTCTTGTATCAGTTTCAGTATATTAGCGGACAGGGAATTTGTGTCAGACAATTTGCCATATCAATACACTGGTTTCTTTCATTGTTGTCATTTTCTCTCGGTATTGTTTGATTCCTATCATATACCTTGAAACATTGACATTATTAACGTTAGAGTAATGGAAAGTAACCATTCCTGACTCCTAACCTAACAGGCTAAACTTTTATGTTAATGGCTTAGAGAAGGGCAACAGTCCCTAGTTTAATAATTAAAAATTCAGCATAAAATTGTGTCTAGTTTCAGTGCTAGCCAGATGAGACTCTTTATATTGTCGACATTTCAAACTCTGCTCGAGTTGTAGTATAATTTTGTTGGGTTTTAGTTTCAAGGTAGCTTTTAAGATCCCCTACAGTTAAAGAGTGCCACGTTAAGCACATAATGAGAACAAACCTAATATAATTTATTCAACAGGAAAAGAAAACAACAAAATGGATAAAAATGTGTTAAGAGTAGGTACCAAATGTAATACAACTTCCAGAAGATACAGTGGCAACTACTCCAGGTCTCAACCGCTTATCATCAATGAATGTCCCATTGGTGCTATCCAAATCTATGACGAGAAGATTCCCTTGTTTCTTTTGAATGCGTGCATGCACACCAGACACTGCAAGTATAAGATAAAGTTTAAAATCGAAAAAAAGGTTCAAGTTTGAAGAAAGTCAAGAGAACTGAATATGCTAAAATGGAAAATAATACTATTGCAATTGATTGATTTGAGAGATTCTCCCCAAGAGAAACAAAGGATAGTACACTTAGAATAAGGAACTCATCCAGAATAGGTATATAGAGAACTAATTAGAAGATAATTGTGTCATCCACAATCTTTATGCATTATAAGAAAACAAGGGTGGTGATTATCCTTTGACTAATGTGATTCTGCCATATTATAATGGATGTATCCTTGTAGTCATAAGAAAACCAAGTAGAAGAGTCAAAATACAAAAAAATTTATCAACTGGAACTTTTACCTGTTGCAACTGGGATCACCAGATCAGCTTTCTCAGGAACACGTCCTACAGTCACCTCACTCTAAAAAATTCAAAAACAAGCTAGTTAATCTGAAGCATACTCAGCCGTACAAAATATTGTTGATGCTAAAATTACTTACTGAAGCAATTTCATATGAACCTGGCATCTCAACCTTGAAGCCTATATGCCTTGTATCACCATCTCCTATCAAATATGATTGGTTATGTTTCTGATGGTACAACAAATCAGAAAATATTAAAATTCCACTTAATTTGTTGGGACAAGCCCTTACAGAATTGACTCTTTCTTGCGACACTAATGAAACAGTAAACACTAAAAAACCAAGTCTCAGTGACAGACTCTTACGGACACTGTAAAGGAAAATGCACAAGGAAAACAATAACTGTAACATCCCGGGCGCTGACGAGGGCGGGGAATGATCGCCGGTGCGAAAGAGCATGGACAAGGAGCGGCTCCAGGCTTCCAGCGACGGGAGTACATAAATGAATCGAATCAACACCCGAAAGAGAGGGATTCCAGAGACTGTGCTGGTATGAGACGGTAAAATTGAGAATAGCTTATAAGAATTAATTGGTACTACCTGTTGGCGGGCGGAAAGGGAGGGGGGGGAAGATCCCCGTTCCCGTTTCTCCTGTAGCTGGATCTTTCGGAACCACAAGAATCCTGAGTTAGAATGGGGTTAAATTTTAATGAGATAAAAATAGAAAATAGAAAATAGAAATGTGAAGAGTTTTCTGGTGAAGAGTCATGTCCTTAGGTTTGTGTTAGTGGACATTAATGAGTTTGAAGTTATGTCAGTTAGAATATTAATGAGTCAGTTATGTCAGTTATAAAGTAATGAAGGTGTTATGTGTGGAGTTATGTTGGTCAGTTTTATAGCTTATAAATATAGCCTTTGATAGTTTGTATGAAATGTAGATAAAGAGATCAAGAGAAAAAGAGAAAGAGCTGGTAAGCAAGAATAGAAAAGAAAAGTTTTTTTGTAGATACACAAGTATAGTTGTCTCTTGCATCTGTGTGGATATTCAATTCTAACAAATTGGTATCAGAGCTTTGGGCTATGGAGGAAAAGAACGAGATGGAAGTGCCACTCTTTTATGGAGATAAAGATGAAGCATTGGTCTTCTTACTTTGTCTAAAAGAATATTTTCGGAGAGAAAAAACCTTTGAAGAGGACAAATGGCATGAAGCTTTGAGTAGATTCAGAGGAAGCGCAATCAAATGGTTCCGTACATGAGACTGCCGCGATTTTAATAACATGTGGAAGAATTTTCAAATAGCCTTTATAGCGAAATATCTACCTGGACGTTTTGATCTGATTAATGAAGAAGATGAAATCTTCAATGATGATGATGAAGATGAGGAGAATGATGCGGATGAAGAAGAGACCGAGATGGCGGAATCCGAGGTTGCCAACGGCAACGCATCCGCGAAGGAGATTGACGTGTCAGAACGCGTAAGAAACGACTCGGAGAAGAAGACGATGGAGATGACTGCGGTCGAAGGAGCCGAGATAGAAGAGGAGGAGAACAAGGGAGCCGAGATAGAAGAGGAGGAGAACGAAGGAGCTGAGATAGAAGATGAGGAGAACGAAGGAGCCGAGATCGAAGCAGAGAAGGACGAGAATGACGAGTCCATTGTCGAGGTAAAAGACTTCGTGGAACCTGAGTGTCTGGAGACAGAGTCGAAAATCGGAAAGGAGATTGAGAAGCCGAGGTGCTTGATGGAGACCGGCATGGAGCAGACCGCGAATCCGAGTTCTGTGTTGATAACCGGGATGGGGGAGATCCCGGCTAAATCACCGAGTTCATGTTTTGGAGAAGAGCTCGATCCCGGCGTGATGAGATTGATGTCGGAGACCGACATAGGCGCGGTTCGGGTTGGAAGTCAGAAGTCGGAGACTGCATTGAATTCATGGTGGAAGTGGAAGATGTCGACACCACCGAAAAGAGACCATTTCCCTGAAGGACGGTGGTCTGAGATTCTATCGATGAAGCGCATGGAAGCTGGACTTGATGAAGAAGAACCCGGCGATGAAGAAACTGAGAGCGGAAAAATGGAAAGTGTGATTGTGGATAGGGAACCCGGCGATGAGGAGCCTAGAGTTACTTTTATGGCGGAATCATTTTGGCTCAAGCGTAAACCAAAAGAAGATCGTGGGGCGGAATCAGAAAATGATGCGTTGAGTTATTTGCTTGATGATGGGAATCAATGGTCCTCAATGAGTGATGGGGTTATTGTGGTTGAAGAGGCCCAACGTGCTATTAATGTAGCACATGTTGAATCTGAAAGTATTAAAATTGGCATAGGTGTTGCAAAACTAATGGGACGTTATAGTGATACAGATACTGATCAGTATGATGACTTGTGTGATGATCATACATGTAAGAATGGATGTGGAAGTATATCGGAGGATGAGGTCGATGGAGAAAAATTCAAGATTGTCTATCTTCCACCAATGAAGGAACCGCCGGACAAAAAAAAAAAAAAAAATTGAAGAAAAGAGTGTAACATGGAAGCAGCGCAGCAACACGAAAAAATCAACCGGTGGAAAATTCAAAAAAGAAGAATTAAAATTTAAGGGGGAGTTTTGTTGGGTTAAATTTTAATGAGATAAAAATAGAAAATAGAAAATAGAAATGTGAAGAGTTTTCTAGTGAAGAGTCATGTCCTTAGGTTTGTGTTAGTGGACATTAATGAGTTTGAAGTTATGTCAGTTAGAATATTAATGAGTCAGTTATGTCAGTTATAAAGTAATGAGGGTGTTATGTTGGTCAGTTTTATAGCTTATAAATAGCCTTTGATAGTTTGTATGAAATGTAGATAAAGAGATCAAGAGAAAAAGAGAAAGAGCCGGTAAGCAAGAATAGAAAAGAAAAGTTTTTTTGTAGATACACAAGTATAGTTGTCTCTTGCATCTGTGTGGATATTCAATTCTAACACTACCTATACTAACAAGATGCATCTACTTTTCGGTAGCCCGGAACGGAAGAACTCCACAGTTAGGCGTGCTTGACTTGGGGCAATTCTGGGATGGGTGACCTCTTGGAAAGTTTTACCGAGAAGTGTGCGAGTGAAGACAAAGTACGCTGAAAAGTCTCGTGTTAGTATGTGGGGACAGTCGTTGATCCTTGCAAATTGCCAGGCGTTACAAGTGGTATCAGAGCATGGCCTCTCCTCCAGTACGGTGTGGTTCGAGGACGAACCAAGCGGAAGTTGGTGGGCATGTAACATCCCGGGCGCTGACGAGGGCGGGGAGTGATCGCCGGTGCAAAAGAACATGGACAAGGAGTGGCTCCTGGCAGGCTTCCAGCGACGGGGGTACATGAATGAATCGAATCAACACCCGAAAGAGAGGGATTCCAGAGACTGTGTTGGTATGAGACGGTACAGTTAGGAATAGCTTATAAGAATTAATTGGTACTACCTATACTAACAAGATGCATCTACTTTTCGGTAGCCCGGAACGGAAGTACTCCACAGTTAGGCGTGCTTGACTTGGGGCAATTCTGGGATGGGTGACCTCTTGGAAAGTTTTCCCGGGAAGTGTGCGAGTGAAAACAAAGTACGCTGAAAAGTCTCGTGTTAGTATGTGGGGACAGTCGTTGATCCTTGCAAATTGCCAGGCGTTACAAGTGGTATCAGAGCATGGCCTTTCTTCCAGTACGGTGTGGTTCGAAGACGAACCAGGCAGAAGCTGGTGGGCATGTAACATCCCGGGCGCTGACGAGGGCGGGGAGTGATCGCCGGTGCGAAAGAACATGGACAAGGAGTGGCTCCTGGCAGGCTTCCAGCGACGGGGGTACATGAATGAATCGAATCAACACCCGAAAGAGAGGGATTCCAGAGACTGTGTTGGTATGGGACGGTACAGTTGGGAATAGCTTATAAGAATTAATTGGTACTACCTATACTAACAAGATGCATCTACTTTTCGGTAGCCCGGAACGGAAGAACTCCACAGTTAGGCGTGCTTGACTTGGGGCAATTCTGGGATGGGTGACCTCTTGGAAAGTTTTCCCGGGAAGTGTGCGAGTGAAGACAAAGTACGCTGAAAAGTCTCGTGTTAGTATGTGGGGACAGTCGTTGATCCTTGCAAATTGCCAGGCGTTACAAGTGGTATCAGAGCATGGCCTCTCTTCCAGTACGGTGTGGTTCGAGGACGAACCAGGCGGAAGCTGGTGGGCATGTAACATCTCGGGCGCTGACGAGGGCGGGGAGTGATCGCCGGTGCGAAAGAACATGGACAAGGAGTGGCTCCTAGCAGGCTTCCAGCGACGGGGGTACATGAATGAATCGAATCAACACCCGAAAGAGAGGGATTCCAGAGACTGTGTTGGTGTGGGACGGTACAGTTGGGAATAGCTTATAAGAATTAATTGGTACTACCTATACTAACAAGATGCATCTACTTTTTGGTAGCCCGGAACGGAAGAACTCCACAGTTAAGCGTGCTTGACTTGAGGCAATTCTGGGATGTGTGACCTCTTGGAAAGTTTTCCCGGGAAGCGTGCGAGTGAGGACAAAGTACGCTGAAAAGTCTCGTGTTAGTATGTGGGAACAGTCGTTGGTCCTTGCAAGTTGTGAGGCGTTACAATAACCAAAGCAGTGCTGAATCTCTCTATATTCCACCCTGATCTCCCTTAATGAGGAAAATAACCCCACTCCCCATGAAGGTCCCCTCCTTCACAATGATTCTTCCCCTAGAGATATTCCCCACAATCCTCCAACTTTTTCTTTTTAACTAACTCTCCCCCATTGTTTCCTCCCACTAACTCCTTTTTATTCAGTGCATTCAACATGTAACTCCTTATAACAACCTCATTCTCCTCGATTTCCTTTACTTCCCCATCAGCATTTACCCAATGTTGTTAAAACGTCAGAGTCTACATAGAAACGGTAGGGGTGAGCAGAAAAGTAAATTCGTAAAACATAAACGAAACGTAAAAGTTTACTGTGTACCAAAGAAAATTATGATTAATATATATATATATATATCTAAATCAATATTAAATTTAATTAACAACTTCAAATTATTAAGAATAATGTATTTAACAATTTTTTATTAATTATATAAAAAACTTAACCTCTTAATTCAAATAAAAAAAATAGAAAAGAGTGAAAATAAAATTTTAAATTTAATTGAAAACAATATTTAAATAATAATAATAATAATAGCAAGGGATAAGATTTCAAATTTGTGTAAAATGATATATGAAAAGTCATCTCCTCTGTCAGTTTCTGTCTTTATCGCTCATTGAAAATATATTCTCTCTGTGACTTTCTTTTTTCCACGGTCCAATAGTAGTTGCCCCTTTTTGGATTTAGTATTTGACACTTTAACTCTTTTCCTCTTCTCTTTCTCTCTTTCCCTCTCTCTCTCTTCTTTTTCTGGGTATTTTTGCAAAGGCAAAAGTATTTCTGCCTTAGTGGCAGAAATACGCACAGACACATTTTTACCAAGATCCGACGTCGGATACTGGTTTGTTTTTTTTATATAAAAAGAGGTTCCGATGACGGATCCTAGTGAATGTGTATGTGGCAGATAAATCTTTATGCCACAAAACCTTTTGCAAAACATTCAAAGCAGAAGGATTTGCAAGCAGAAGGATTTGCAAGCAGAAGAGGAGGAGGAGGTCTCGTGAGCTTCCGAAGAGAGCGCAGAACCTTCTTCTTGACGTCTTTGTTTGCGGCAGCCAGAGGAGGAGGAGGCTGTGCAGCATGAGACGGTGACGAGACCAAGAACACATGAGAACGCAAAGAAGAACGGCGAGAATGACAACAAAGTCAGAGTCAACGACGGCAGAATCCCCTCCTCCCCCTCATCGCTGATTTTTTTTTTAATACTGAGTCGACTCGGTAAACTTGCCGAGTCAACTGAGTTTACCGAGTTAACTCGTCGTTTCAACCGAGTCAACTCAGTTTCCATTTCTATCACCGTTTCAATACTATTTTGGACCCAAAAACATAGAAACGACCGTTTCTACCGAGTCAGCTCTAGTTTTAACAACAGTGATGTGTACCTTGTCAATCTTGGGACTTGAAAGAAAATCATATCCAAACAAATACTTGAAGTGGATAACTAAGGAATTCTATTCATAATATTACTAAGGATTAGCTCAATTGTCTAGTCAATCAAGATAATAAAGTCAAAAAAGTATTGTGTCATGATTCATGTAGAATTTTTCCTATCAAGATATTGAACCTTATATTTCGAACAAATATTGTAGGGAAGTGATAAAAAAAAGGATTTCCAATATCCCAAAATGCAATTCCTTGAACTAGAAGGAGCATGCTACAGGTTATCCACAACAAACTATACAAGAAGGGGCAGAATTACTTGTCACCTACTGTAAACCAGTTGTACTCTTGCTACAGCTTATATAGCTGGAGTAAGGAGCATGACCTAAGTATCATTTTATGTTGTTCATGGTATGGTGGCATCCGATTGTTTATAAAATCTGAAAGCTCGCAATGCCACAGGTGTTTGTTGATCAAGTTGCCCTAATCTTGTGAAGGATTACACTTGGTCATTATTATATTCTCAACCTTTTATTCCGTGCATGGGTACAACAAGGTTTGAGAACACTAAAGAATAAAATTAAAAGCTCAAGATTTACAACACAAAACCATAACATACTCCACACTGTTGATTCAGGTCTCTATATTTAGCAGGAAGCCATGAACAAAGCAATTGAAGGGATTGTAATTTCAAAATAAAAAGTAATTCATCTACCAATACTAATCCTAGCAAATCATACTAGATGTTAGGTCATTCCTTACTTCTCAATGCTTCATTACCAATTTTTCTCTATAGACTTAAAGTTTGTGTTAAAGGTTGCATCTTAAGGCATGTAAGCAGTTTTTCTGCTGCATAAGATTGGTCTACTATGTCTTTAGCTTTCAACAAGCACATAAAAGCTAAACATTTATGCAGATTAAACATAGATGTACCAAACTAACACCAGAGTATATACATGAAAGTTCAGCAAGAAGCAAGTTAGCACCAGTTTGGAGGTGAAAATTGGAGATCATACCATACCACAAGTCAGACAGTTTAGATATCTTGGATCAACCATACAAAGTGAAGGAGAAATAAAGGGCGATGTAAATCATAGCATGTAAGCTGGGTGGATGAAATGGACGAATGCTATACTTATTTGTGATAGAAAGGTTCCTCTCATGCTAAAAGAAAATTTTACTGCACAACTGTAAGATCAGTGATGCTTTATGATACTGAATGTTGGGCAATGAAGGGCCAACAAGAACATAAGGGTTGAAAAAATGAGAACATTGCATTGGATGAGTGGTCAAACAAGAAAAGATAAGATTAGGAATGAGTGTATTAGAGAGAAAGTTTGAGTGGCATCTAATGAGGAAAAGATGGAAGAATCATGTCTAGAAGTGGCATCTAATGAGGAAATGATGAAAGAATCATGCCTAAGATGGTTTGAACATGTGAAAAGAAGACCTGTAGAAATCTCAATTAGATGAGTTGATCAGATGGAGGATAGCTCAATAATTAGAGGTATAGGTAGACCAAGAAAGAACTCTTAGTGAAACCATTAAAAAGGATCTAGAGTTAAATGGCCTGTTTGAAGAATTGATTTTGGACAGAACGCACTGGCATCATTTGATTCATGTAGCCAACCCCACCAAGTGGGAAAAGGCTTTTGCAGTTGTTTTAAACAAAAATGTTCCAAACTAATGTCTCAATTCTATATCCTTTGACAAAAAAGAAATGGCGTGTATATGACTTTGATGGGATCTTATAAATACTATTGTCAAACCATTCATAATTTATTTTAACAAGTCTCGAGTGATGATGTTCCTCTCTCATGAGTTAAGTAAACTAAACCGGAAATAAAACCTTTACAATCAAATAGAACTATTGGCTGCAATGTCCTTCGAGCTGCTGCCCAAATCATCTACTTAAAAACAATAAAAAAATAGTCTTACATATAACTGATTCCTAAGCGAATCTCAAAGTTGTTCCAGCAAGGAATTTCCAGTTTCCCGCCAGTATTCTAATTCACCCATGTGAATGGTATTTATCACCTTCACAAACAATTTTTACAAATTATGTTTGTCCTCTTTGATTGGAATTACGGGAAGATACACATACACAAAGGAATGCCAAGATAAACTTTTTACATGAATTTCTAGGTTCCATGTTGAAGCCATGACATTTTCAGGAATTTGTAGGAGGTGCTCATAGTCATCATGGATTCATGGTTAGGTTGGTGTCTGATGCATCCTAAATTGGGTATGTATCAAAACATCTTATATCAAGGATTCAAGAGCCTAACATCTGCCACTAGTCCACTACAATTGCCCCACCGCAAGAAAAGAAAAAAAAAAAAAAAAAACAGAAAAAAGTGGAACACATTTTCCATATTTATGTTCACTCTCCTATATTCATAGCATTTAGCTTAATTCCCTGCAACTTCTAAGAAAAACAATTTCCTGTAAAATCACTAAATTATAGAGGGACAGACCTTACAATTTTTCAAGTGTTACTTCTAGGTTCTAGCTTCTAGAGATGATTATATTGAGAATGAGAAAGATGTAACTGACCAACTGGTTCAAGAAGCCATCTTTCTGCAGCACTTGTTAAAGGGGTAGCAGCCTCTGAGGCATGTATAGCTCCCAGGTTCTGCTTTTCCTTTGCTTTGGATCTAACACCATATGGTAGCTGTAAAAGAAAGCAATTGGGCAAACGATGGGTTACTGAAGTGAAAGTTACTGAAGTGGCATTGGCGTGAAATATAAGTGGTGAATTAAAGAGAGAAGCAGAGCAGGCTCGAGAATTTGGAAATTTTGCAAGGGAGAGAGATTGTACAATGTTTTCCATTTGTGCTGAAACTGTTACCTACGGGAATGAAAACTAGTTGTTTGCTTATATGGGTTGGCTTGGGGATCTCGGTAATCAATGCATAAATTTCAATATTGCTGGTGGTGGTGTGACTACATGTGACATGGACTGGAGTTATATGTGGCAGTCATTTAATGCTTGAGAAGAGATTGGATAACTATATCTTGAACTAGTTGATGTCCTTTGTTTTTTTTTCCCCTTCATTTTTGGATCCTATAAATTTTTGTTGGATTAGTGGATACTACGTCTTGTACCTTAAAATTACATATATGCTAAAAGTACTTCTTGATTAAAATTCGTAATTAAGTTTCTCTTTAGTTAAATTAAGAGACCCCTTAGTAATGGCATGTGATTTATTTTACTTAATTCCAAAAACAAAGTCAAGTAATGAGTAATATCTTTATCTATCTTGGTTTTTCATTTATGTCCTTCCTATTATAATTGGCTTCTCTCTCTCTTTTTTTTACTTTTCTTTTGCATTAATTTTTAATAAGGAAAAAATATTTCTACTTTTGTTACAGAAATTTTTTTCTGCCACAGTCACATAAAAATAAATGGGTTCCACAAATTTTTTTCTCACTCTTCTCTTTATAATGGGATCCATTCGCTTTTATTTGAACGTGGCAGAAACTTTTTTTGCAACAAAAGCAAAAACATTAAACCCTTTCAATAAACTAGAAAAATAAACTTATTACATTAATTGATCTAAAATAGAGGAAAATAAAAATAAATTTTATTAAAATATCTATTAAGAAATTTTTTGTATTTATTTAATTAGTCAAAATTGATAATGGATATATGTTTTCCGTAAAAGTGAATAAGTTGATCTGACAATGACATAAGAGGAGTGGTATGGCTCAAAACTCTTAAGAGTCACCGTACTGGTCTTAGGCCAGTTGAGGGCGAAGGGAGGATGTGTTTGGACTCAGTTGTGGCTGAGGAATGATTTTACGAGAGTAACAGTAAACTTGAGCAATGGGGAAGATGGATCATTTAGTTAGGCTGAGACTTCTATTTTTAGGGTGGAGAAGATTCTCTCTAAGCATCAAAAATGTGATGTCATAATTGTTTTTGTCTTGTGGACCCCACCATGGTGTGAGGCTGCATGACCCACCTGATGTGTAAAGCTCATGTATCTGTAAGAGATGTGAGGGGACACGTGTAAGGGAGTCATGTGCTCCACATGCTAAATGGTTGTGGCCTTGCCGGGTAGCCATTTGAGTTGGCTAGGCAAGGTCATCTTGCCGATCCAAAATAAAAGTCCCCCAGCTTGGTAGTTTACGACACCATACTACCAAGATGTTTGAAAGATGTTCAGATCGACGAATGTGATGCTCGTGTCAGGAGGATACTGGTCCTGCCAGCTTCTATATTTGGTTGCTTGTTATGGTTGAATTTTTGGCCCATCATCTGGTCGGATTATATGTTAGGGAGGCTATAACAACCTTCACTGTCAAATAGATGACAATGAATTAACTAAGTGTTTAAGTGGAAATTTAAATATGTATTCAAAGAAACGATAAACGATAAATCATGTAATTGACATGAAAAGTAAGTTAAGAGTACAGTTCATGCCAAACAATTCTAGAAGGACCTTAAAATAAGCATAAGGTATATGTGAGGACGTAGATGTCATTATGTGCAAAGTCAGGATTACTTTGGTAATTGGCCAAGGTTAAGTCAAAGGTTGATTTTAATGATGTAATTAAATTCTATAGTAAATTTCATAGGTTTAAAGTGATCTTATTATTTTCAAACAATGTCTAGATTAATTTCTAAAAATAGGTCAAAGTAAGAAAAATTAATGAACCAATGAAAATTGGTTTAGGTCAAAGATGAATGCAAAGTTGTTAAGTTAGTAACATAACTTAACTTTGTGAATTCTTTGCAAGATTTTTGATGTATGGTTGATTCTTTGTCACCTTCTGTGTATTATATTCTTAAAGGTCAAAATTAAGTGTTGACTAACCAATTAGAATCAAGGTTGACTAGTCTTGAACAAATGGACCAATGGTTGAAAAGTTTGAAAGTCTTAAAGTGTAGAAATGCCAAGTAAGCAATCCTAGTCATCTTTGCACATGTTAGATGGTTTTTTGTAGGTGGAAGAGTTCTAGAATGTTGTATAGAAAGATGACAATGCATGTTTGTAAACAAAGGACCAATAGAAAGCAAGCAAGTGTGTAAAGTGGTAAAGTGTAAAAGTAAGATAACTTAATGATATTTCACTAAGTGTAACTGGTTGTCATTCTTCTTCCTTGGTGTCCAACGAAAGTTTCTTCTTCCTCTTGCTACACCATGGCCGAACCATACTCCTAGAGAGAGACAATGGATGTTCTTGAATTTTAAGCGCTTTTTGGAGAAAATCTATTACACAAAAGTGATAGCTTTTGATCTTGTGATCTTAAATCTCTTTTCTTTTCTTCTTGAAGAGCTTTGTAGTGAGATAAACCTTCATCCAAAGAGAGTTGGTACTATTCACCTAGAGAGAGAAAGTTAGAGTTTTGATAAATTGGTTGGTGAAAAAGAAAGCTTGGTGTTCAAGGAAGCTATTCAAGTTATTACTTCTTAATTTTGATGGTTGGAAGTTGATATTTTATGGTGTTAAAGTTTGATTAGGGTTTTTGAAGATCATGAATATTTGATATTGTTTGGTGTGGTTTGAAATTGTTTTGAGGTTGTATGTTAAACCTATGTGAAACTATGCTTGAAGATATTTAAAACAAGCTAAAGAACATTGTATTTTTACAACATGTAATTCGGCGATCATATGGTTTAATGTGTAAACTATGTGTTTGATGAAATGTTATAATGAAATTAAGGTTGTAGGATAATTTAATGATGTTTGGTTCAAGAGAAATCAATTGAAAAATGTGAGATGAATCCATGGATTCCTAATTAAGGCCATTCGGCCATGAACACTTTAAATAGCTATGATTAATAATTAGTTGTGTTTAATTGTTTAAAGTATACCTAGTGTGTGATTAATTAAGATTTAAAGCGATTTACATTGAAAGGAAATCAAATTAATGACATAGGAAATATATAAGTGTCATTGGAAAACATAGTGTGTTTATGTCAAGAAATGACTTTGAAACTGAACAAGAGTGTTTAAGGAATTGTGTAGTGTAAATAAATGTGAATTATAAGGTGATTAAGTTGGTTAACCATGTAGGATAATGACATGAACAATTCGGCCAACATAGGATTAATTGATTAAGATTATCTAAATTAGCAATTAAATATTGTGTAATGTTCAATTAATAAAAATAATGAAGATTGAACATAGTTTAATGGGATTTGATTTGAGAAAGGTAAATGAGTTCATATAGATTTCAATATGACTATGTAAAGAAAATAATAAAAGAATGCAAGTTGTCATTTATATCATGTAAGTTTGTAAACCTGATAATTTGTAAAAAAAGTTACACTAATAAAGTGTATGTAAATTATGTGTGAAAGAATATAAGTTAAAGTGTTGTGTAAGATTTGTGTGTGTGATGTGAAATTAACCTAATATCAAGTGGTTATGAATTAGGTTGAATGATGTATCAAATGGATAAATTGGTTGCAAGAAAATAATGCATAAAATTCATGAATCATTAGAGTAATCATTCCAGAATGAGGCAGTAGCTAATTTTTGGCTCTCCTGTTTTGGGTAATCAATTATCATGCTATAGATAATCGATTACTGATCTAGGTAATCGATTACCATCCCAAAAGTAATTGATTACTTTTATTCACAGTGGCTCAATTTTGCGTCCCCTGTTTCAGGTAATCGATTACCACACTGAAGGTAATCGATTACCCTACTGTGAAATCACATTTTGACAGCTTTTTAACTTAAAAATAAACCATGTGTTCTACCCCTAACACTTTAATACTAATTATACAACTTGTACAAGTACTAATGTAGGCTCTAAGTCCTTCCATCATGCATAATCTTATACCAATGCATCAATTACAATACTCATCATCTTACTTGCCAATTTGACTTCATATGGCTCATTTACAACAATAAGTCTCCAAATGCCTCAAGATACCACATGTGGCCATGGACAAGTCTCATGCTCACCAAAATAACAATATAAACAAGAGGCATAATATACATCAACTACAAAGACTTAGAATCTAGTCAGAACACCCAAAAGCATGGCAATATCAACATGCAGTATGTTCATAACCTAAGTCCAAAATGCTAGAAACAATGCTATGTGCATCAAATGTAATCCTCCAAAATGCTATGCTCTCCGTATGCACACCATGATCCAATCCTCCTCTAAGCAAGCCTCTTGCCCGAAGATCCTCCATGCTCACTAAAACCTGAAATGGTATCCCCAAACGCGGGGTGAGATATACAAATATATCTCAGTAAATCAAGGGTACTGGAGGATCACTCCACCCTATGGCTCACTCACTGTGCCTACAATGATCATCATATAGAATGCATAACATACAAAATCACATCACACTGGGCTCACATCCAAGAACATCCACATAAGGATTCCGTTCAAGGACCCCATCATATAACTCCCGAGAAGCTTCTTGGTGTCTCTCCCATGGTTGAGACGACTATCGAAAAACCCAACTGGAACTCCAAAGAGACCTATCCAGCGAAAGACCCACGTTTGGATCATCCTGGTACGCTCCCAGAGACGGACCCACGACAAAACCCGACCGAAATCCCCCAAAGGGATATCACCAGCGGAAGTCCAAACCACACACATCTACTGGCCATAGATCACAGATATGTCACACAACATGCTCCAAGCATGTCACATAATCATGACAATAATGCATGAACATACATTTCATAAAAAGTCAAAGAGCACACAATCCAACCACTACCCTCCGTGAGAGGCAAGAGTTTACCTTAACTCCGCAAGTAATGCTCCTCAACGCAAGCTCAACGCTTAATCCACCTCTATCGAGTCCGTGAAAGGCAACCTATATAGATCAAATAACAATGGTCATCAACCAATTGCAAGGCAATCAATTCACTTTCACAATATTAATACCCAAACCTATTCATTTAGGCCTAAGGGCTATTTTACATTTA